CTGACCTCTGCACCCATGCCGCACTCCCTGACTAGGGCCCGAAGGGGCTGGTTCCTGACGACACACCAGAGAGGTCCCATCGGCAGTGCGAGGCACAAAACAGCCCTTTTGCACAGAAAGAGCACTCCCAAGGCTCAATAGTGCACGCCGGTCGAAAAAGAAGAAAGGAAAACACCCTAACCAGGGTTGAAAAAAAGAAGTGTAAAAAGGAAAGATGAAAGATTTCGAGGTACAAGCCAAAGGTAAGAAGCAAACTTGGCCTCAGAGAAAGTTGGGAGCATAAAGAGAAGGATCTCCCACCCCCTGTTAGTCGCCTTTTACGACAAGCCGAGGGAGGCTGCGGTCCTATTCTAACCCGGTACTGCACAGGGTGCTAGGTATTGTACTGGTTGCTCTAGTAAATACAAAATTTAAACTATGAGTTATCACAATGTGTAAACTCACGTTTGCCGACTTCGGGAGATTGTTTCAGATGTCGAAATATCTCATCTTCACTGTAGACTGAAGGGTCATCTACAAGTTCTTCAGAGTACGTTTCCTCATCCATTTTCAGCTAAAAAAAGTAGAAACTATCTTAATGTAATGTTAACATGTAGATTAATAAGTGGTATTTTGTTTGATAGTGCATAAGTTTAACTATTTAACACAAACTAAATTGAAATATACAATTTTTAGACTAGTTCTCTATAATAACTATGGAGGCAAAACCGACTATCTGATAACATAGACCTACTGCAGTACCGCCTAAGTGAATAACGACGGAAGAGAAATTTAAGTTGACATTATTAACACCTAATAATAGTAATCCGATATAGCACTTATAAAATATTGTTCATAAACAAACAAATAAATACAAACTATAAAAATATACGCGTTAACAGCTATAATATTAATTATTAAGACTAAATAGAAGGGCTTACCTTGACCACGGGTGAAGACGGCCTAACTGCATACACGTGCTGCTCAGATAGGCGATGCTGCGCGCAAATGTTCACATAGGCGGTTCTGCGTTACTTCGTTTGCAGCGCCTCTGGTGGTTATATTTAAAGTTATGGTGATACCAACACCTGCGTCTGATTAAGACGAAAAACTACATGTGCATATCTCAATATCGAAAAAATCGTCACATAGGCGGTATTGCCTGCGCAACGACGATATAATAATCCAATTCTTATTGGAAAAAAATTGTATTCATTTTTTGTTTGTTTAGATATTTAGATTTAATAGCATGTGAAAGATGTGATAAATGTGATAAGATAAATGTGAAAGACTGTGAACATGACCCAAGTGTCGAAATGCATCAGTCATTAAAAATATTTAAAAAAGGGTACTATGGTGTATTGTTTATTTTTATTAATATTATTTACAATAGCCCTACATGTGAACAATATTAAATATATATATACATCTATATATTAATTACGTAAGCCGATTCTTTGCGTCAAAATTGTGGGCGACTGGGAAGTCGTAGAACGAGGGAAGAGGGCTCAAATTAAAGGTCTCGACCCCGTGACGGCGAGAAAAATAGCTAAATTCACTACATTTTAACACAAAATTAGATATAATGTCAAATGTTCTCCATAAGAAATGCATTAGAAGTCATTTACTGCTGATTTTTGTTTACTTCAATACAGCTGATGATCGTGATTTATCATCAAACCAGTAAGCAATATTAGATTTGGATTACCTACTTGCCAGTCAATTCTGAAGTGTACTGTTTACTATATAAAACCAGAGATAACGTTACCTATAATAATTAAGACTTTTTAGTTACGTCTTAGAATGTTGAAATCAATTATTTTACTGTGCAATTGGCAAACTTTTGTATTTTTAAGTAAATTAGTTAAGCGTATGATAAGTAGTAGAATCATAGGAGATGGCTCAAATCAAAGGATGAACTTAGATTGGCTGAAAATATAATGAGATTTTTTCTTCTAACTTAAAGGTTATTGTCGTGTTGAAGGAATGGTTAACATGACATAACTACATTGACTAAATAATAAACGATTAAACGATTCAAGATTGTTAAAAACTTTTGCTTTGGTTGGATTTCAAAACAAATGTTAAAGATTTATTATACACTTTTTTGTATATTTACTAACATTTTGAATTTGAGATTTATATTTATTGTAGTGTTGAATTAATATTTTGTATGAAGTGGAATAACCTCAACGGCCACTCTCAGAAATCAACCTGGGAATAAAGATGAAATAGTTTCGTTCAGGTACAGGCAATTTATTTGTTCCTACAGTGTGTAAATTAAGTATGGAAACAAATCTGTATTTTTAAAACCGAAATAGATAGAAATATTCTATTTGTGGCAATAATAGTTAACAAAGATTCTGCAATTTTTCACATGAAAAATATTTTTTTACCCCCCTAACAGGGTAGGTGGTAGGGGGTGACTTATTTTTTTTCAAATAGCAACCCCTATTGAGTGACAACTCATTTTGAAGGGTTTGTCAAAAGAAACACAATGACGCAAATCCGAGGTGAATATCTCACTCCTAGCCCAAATGGCGGATATTCCAAAATTTGATTTATTGTACGTGAAAAGCACCAATTTCACAAATAATGGAAAGAAATCTGTATTTTTAAAACCAAAATAGATAGAAATATTCTGTTTGTGGAATTGATTGTTGACATAGGTTCCGCAATTTTTTTAATTAACAATATTTTTTCAACCCCTTTAACAGGGTAGGGGGTGGGAGTGACTTATTTTTTTCAACAACAACCCCTATTGAGTGACCCCTCATTTTGAAGGGTTTGTTAAAAGAAAAAGAATGACGCAAACCCGAGGTAGATATTTCACCCCTAGCCTAAATGGTGGGTAATGAAAAATTTAATTTTTGTAAAAAAAAGCCCATTTTGGAATATCCGCCATGTTAGCTAGGAGTGAGATATTCACCTCGGATTTGCGTCATTGTGTTTCTTTTGACAAACCCTTCAAAATGAGGGGTCACTCAATAGGGGTTGCTATTTGAAAAAAATAAGTCACCCCCTACCACCTACCCTGTTAGGGGGGTAAAAAAATATTTTTCATGTGAAAAATTGCGGAATCTTTGTTAACTATTATTGCCACAAATAGAATATTTCTATCTATTTCGGTTTTAAAAATACAGATTTGTTTCCATACTTAATTTACACACTGTATTGTAAGTACTGTGACAAGTTTCAGCGGGAGGAAAAACAATATTTTTTGTAGCGGATTTTAACCAGGTACTACTTTCTGTTGCAAGCAAAAAGGTTTCAAATAATATAGCCTAGCTTGCACGGTGGTATAGGGAGTATCCATATACAATATAACAGTAAAACCTAGAGGTAGTATCCGTTTCTTAAAACTAACCAAAAAAAATATGCATGTCAAAGATGCTGTAAAAAGTATTTTCGAGATTGGTTTCGATAACTGGGTAATTGAACCTTAAGCAGTCGCAAAATAGTTAGGAATCAGCCGTTTATTAGGTCCTCTTTTGTTAGAATATGTAAAGTCAATCGCACCTTTAGGATGAATACCACCACATAATCTTACACTAGGCTAATAGTAGTTTTTTTATGTTGATCAGAAACGAATCTAGCGTTAAGTTTGGTCAATGGGATGCCTTTACTTTACACTAATTTTGCTAAACCTTTACAAAAGGGGCATACACTTAGAAATAACTAGCTGTGTGCCTCTTCTACGCACGGGATCTTATAGTAGTCTGTTGAAACCTTCTTATATTAAGAACAGCAGTTAGTTTGCATATTTTCAGATTTGCTGGCAAAACTATTGTTTATAAACCTCTGTAAATACAATATATCCAATGATTAAACTAAAAAAAGCTTTATAGGCCTATAGTTGAAAGTTACTTTCCACAATGGTTAAAAGTATTTAAAGTAGTACCTCAACCTCACCATTTAACACTTTATTCGGGTTGACATTTTCATTATCAAAGGTGCTCTTGTCCTTTTCGTGACACTGAGAAATAAGGCCATTCATGCGTTACCAACAGACATACACACAAAAATACAGAACTCAATTAGGGAATTTGCTACGTTTGAAGCATAACAAAGTACACATAAAATTTGTATTTGAAATCTTTGTCAATGTCATCAAATTTTATCATAACAATTTATATTTGCTTGATCCGAAGATGACCCGAAATGCTGTATTTATACATAAACAACGTAAATCGTAAACAATTCATGATGGTTTGCTGAACAAATTTTACTTAAATGAGTTATCTTTTTCTTAGCATAAGCTAACATTTTGGAATCCAGACAGAAAAAGCAAAGCTTATACAGTTAAGACATCAATTAAATTGAATACGGCTGTAATACGACTGTATAAATAAGGTGCAACACCAACGATAACTAATTTGTAAATTACAGTGATGTGTTAAAGAAGTATGTGGAAAAGAAGTAGGCCTACCCAAAACCTACGTTTACAGTTAAGAATTACGTCCGACCAATTAAATGTGTTAAAAGTCCCAAGGTTACGGTATTGATTTCTTGGTTTTGGATTTTCTCGTAAAAAGGTATCGGCAATCAAAGTTATTTTCCATTAATTGCTTTATTTGTAAACAACTTTTAATGTAAACTTTGGTGTCAGTTTGAAAAAAAAACCTTATACAAACAACTTTTTGTTATTTAATAGCTTACGTGTATTCTCTAAACAATTATTGGTATATCTTTTAACATTAGAAGGAAATGTGACAAAAATCACACAATGCTGGGTTTTTGGACGTTTGTAATTTTATTTGTTAAGTAGGTAGGCCGTGTATTCTATGGAAAAGTACCGCTATCAAGGATAGTCGTCGAAAAGGTTGTTATGAATAAATAGGTAGGTAGGTGTATGGGAAATTCGCTAAAAATGTTAATTGTTAATTCAAGGTAGGGTAATCCATGAGACTAATAATTTGTACAAAATAATAACTAGAATATATATATAGGGGCTATTGTCCCTACAAGCCACACTAGATTAATATAATTTTTAATTAACTTTGTGTATGTCTCCATTTCAGCAATGCCTGAACCTGTTGGATGGTGGAGCCAGAGATGCGTTGAACGATGTAATCACCAAAACTGTGCGGAAGGTCGCGTCACAGCCAGAGCCAAAGGAAGGAGAGCTTGACGATACACTAGTTACTTGAATGAATCACCTTCTCTCCGTATAGGGCCGATTTGTCTGTCAAAACAATTTTATAGTGCTCTGCTGTTACCTTCTCAGCTTCCTGCATGCACATACTGAGCATACTGAGTTATGTTTTTTTATTAATTACAGAAGAAAACTTCGGGTAAACACTTAAAAATAGCATGGAAATGTGCGGGTCTATAAAATTTTTTTACAACAATGCCTTTCTGAGTGAAATTGTTCTTAACTTAAATTAAAAACACAAAAGACAACAATGAGCATAAAATAGAACAAAGTTCTCCTAACATAATATATCACATAGCCCAAAAAAATGTATCAATCTAGAATAATCGGCCTTATTTACTAATGGGAATGACTGAACCTAATAATTGTCATCTAGTAAATACAAATATTATTTGTTATTAAACTTGTTTATAAGATGCAACGTATAATTAACTTCTCCGAGTAATTTGGAATGTACTTTGTTATTTTAAGTATTGTTTGCGTTTTTAAGAATAAATTATATGGTAAAGCAGTCTGATTGTTTTATTTTGTTTGAAATACAGGGTGTCCCGTAACCTTCTGGACAAATGTATATAGCGTTATTCCTTAGATCAAGACAAACATATTTCACCATAGAAACATGGGTCTGTGGTGCCTAGTTTTCTGTCTGTCTGTATTTATGTGTTTTTACAAAAAAACTAATAACTCCTAAACGGTTTGAGATACAGCGTTGATATTTTGCTAAAATGTTTATCTTATTAAGACCTTTTATTGTTAGAAATTATACTAAAAAATCAATAACCGTTCGCTGTTTCAATAAGTCAACAGTAGGCTACTGCTAGGTCAAAAGTATATTCTGTTCAATGACTTCAATAATTTTGTGTTTTGGCTTACTTAAAGTTGTGCTAAAATTATGAAAATTGGCACAGAGCTTCTTGGTTAGTACTGCTTGATGACTGTTTGGTTGGAATTTCAAATTATTTATCAACCTTATTAATAAAAATTGATATGTTTGTTGAAATAGTTTTAAAATGTGAATTTTAACATAAAAAGCTTAGCATGCGAGGATTTAAAAAAATATTTTTTGGTTTGGAGAGGTTTTGTCTGTGGCAAAGTTTTAGCCAATAGTTAATAGGGATACGTAAAATATATTTTTTGGAAATTTTAAAATCAGTGGTTCAGTAGATAATTTGGGTTGAAGAGGAAGGGAAATTTAGCATTTCGCAACACATGGAAAGAAACTATATTGTACAATGCGCCAGCCGTATGGACTGATCTTTCTTTACAGTTTTAAGGAAAGGAAAAGATGAATATACCATCACCAGTACATTCATATTATTTATAAAACATGTCAGAAATAAAAATGGTTTTAAATTGCATGTATTATCTAAAAACATGATAAAATAAGGGTGTAAGAAATTTCAAAGTTGGCCGCCATGTTGGAAAATGCGGCTAAATTTTTAAAAACTAAATTCATTTTTTTAACTGTCACAAAAAATTAAGGAATGTCCCCCATTTAAATTTTTCTCAATTCTTACCGTTGCCGATATCCCAATGGTGGCCTCCTTGAGTTGATTACCCTGTATAATGAAAGAAATCTACAATATGAAGATATGTACCTACGAACGAGGATGTTAGCCGAAGCATGCACAAAATCAGGTGGTACTTAAAGTAATGATAAAAAATTGTATTGTTATTTAACAACAGAAAGAACAATTGTAAACATACACGTTACAATGGGTGGGATCAGTTGCTGAAGGTCTAATTCCCGGAAGGTCTAATTAGACCTTAGACACACATTTTGCAGTTTGTACTTGTTGCTGAGGGTCTAATCTGGTAGTATGTCGAAGGTCTAAGTCCCGGAAGGTCTAAGAGTACAGTCAATGCAAAAAACCCATCCTCTGATACCGTTTTAGACCTTGCGGGATTAGACCTTGGGCACACAACGTATATATTTTAAATAAATTTTTATAAAATGAGAGTTGCTGAAGGTCTAATTCCTGGAAGCTCTAAGATTTGAGTCCCGGAAGGTGTAAGATTCGAGTCCCGGAAGGCCTAAGATGCAGGCGGGCATTGCGTCGCCATAGATGAAGGCTATACAAGCAGGTAATAACGCAACATCTTTTAGAGTTGGAATTGAAATTATTGAGATGTTTCATTCACTCCAAGGTGGTTCACTCCAAAAAGTAATTTTACAAATTATTTGCCTGTTCATTCACTCCATTGTTCATTCAATCCAACGGGTACTGTTAGCTCTATAAGTAGAGTAACAAGTAGAAAATATTAATTTTGAATTTTACTGTACATTTTATAGTATATTCAAACAGTTTTAGAAAAAGTTAAAAAAAACAATTTAGCAGCCATTTTTCTAATATGACCCACAACTTTGATTTATATTATGGAAGACCCTATATTTTATGCTAAGTGTAAATAAGTCTTAAAATTGATTCTACATTCTAAAAAGACCATAAAGTACCTAGTTTTCTTATTTTAAAATTTTGTGCCATAGGATCATTATCTTTTATGTTTTTTTTTAAACTTAAGGTCTTTTTAGACTGTAGATTAAATTTTTAGACTTTTTTACCCTTAGCATTTTATCTCTAAACTTACTCATTTAAGAGATACATGGCGTCGAATGTAGGCCCCTACACGGCACGTAATTTTTTCTTAGTTTTAACACACTGTAACTCCTAAATGAGTAGCTTTAGAGAATAAATTCAAAGAATAAAAACTGTTTCAATGGCATATACTTTCTAAATAAATCATCAACAATAGAGTCTTATATTAGGGTCTAACGAAACCCTAACCATTCGCAAAATAGTTAGTAATCAAAATTTGATTAGGCATTTTCCTTATAGAATATGTAAAGTCAATTGCACCTTAGGAGGATTACCACCACATATATTTACACTGGGCTAATAGTAGTAGTTTTTGTAATGTCAAACAGAAACAAATTTAGGGTTAAGTTATGTCAGTGGAATGCCTTTACTTAACACTAATTTTGTCAAACCTTTACAAAAGGAGCGTAGTCCTAAACATAGAAATAATAACTGGGTCGGGATGCTAATTTAGCGGTTTTCACTAAGAACTAAGCTTATCTCAACAAACCTTTATTCACCTTTTCATATTTGACGATGACAAGTTCCAATATTTCAATCAGGGAAGCATTTTTATTATCATTATTTTTATCATAAAGAAAAAAACAATAAACTGTAAAAAATGATGTACTTAGATATGTGAAGAAAATTTGATTCTGAGGTTATTTAAACAATACAATAATTTGTTTTACATTGGAGCTTTTTAGGGACTTATGTCCCTACAAGCCACTAGTGTTATTTAATACTGTAATTATCTATACTAGGTGAAACTCGTCGAAATCGACGGTTACTTTTAAGGCTTACGCTAATTCATCTAACTGCGATAAATTGAGTGAAACTATACATACTTTGAGCATTTAGCATTGTTTAAAGTTTAATAAGTGTAAAAACAATAATGTCATTAATTGCGTTGGTGGATCTTTTGTAGTTAAACACCCGTGATATCATCAGTGTAATGCAGATTAAACTATGATTTTATATTTTAAAAATCTGTTTGTTGGGAAGACACGTTCTAACTTCAAAGGGAGGTATATCCGTTACAGTGTAAGTTTGATTTTTCCTTCGTCACGGCGCGTCAATTCATATCGTACTTTTGTGCCAATGAATAACCCTCTAGCACAGTTTTGAGAAATTGGTTGTGGGGTACAAGCAGAAGCTCTCCTCACTGACAACCAACCAATTTCAACCCCATCTAGCTCTGTAGTTTCTAATAACTCATCAATCAGTGTCAAATTGCCTACTATAAAACTCCCTACATTTTGTGGGAAATACGAGGAGTGGACATCGTTCCAAGAAATATTTCATTCTCTCGTCCATGACAACACGTCACTAACAGACACACAAAAGTTTCATTACCTCAAAACATCACTTCACGGTCCAGCTATCAGCGTCATAGAATCCTTAGAAGTTACCTCAGTAAACTACACGACTGCTTGGTCCCTACTCAAGGAACGATTTTAAAACAAAAGAATCCTCATCAACAATCACATAGCTTCTCTACACAATATCAGCAAAATTTAAAGGGAATCTGGATTAGAATTACGATCATTAATAGATTCTGTAAACAAGCATTTACGTGCTCTAGAAAACCTAGGTCAACCAGTGCAAAGTTGGGATACTTTGTTGATATTCACATTGACCAAGAAGCTTGATCACCCTACACTTAGACTTTGGGAGAGCCACATGGTATCGTCAGATGTACCAACATTCTCAATTTCATCGCATTCCTAAAATCTAGATGTCAAACATTAGAAGCAATCGACTTGAATCATAGCGGTCAATCAACTAGTCCATATAGTCATAGTAACAAAATGCTACATCACAATAGACATAACACCATAAGCAATAGTCATAGCAAGCAGTCAAGTGGTAGTCCACATAGTTATAGCAACCAATTGCTACCTCACCTCAGACATCACACTACTCTAGTTACCAGCAGTAGTAGTGTAACATGTCCATATTGCAATGGCAATCACAAGATATTCATTGTATAGAAATATAGACCGTCAGCTGTGCTGCGGTTAGCATAAGTTCTGGCGTCCACCGCTAGGTTTGCCGTTTAGTTACGGCGCACACTGCTGCAGCATGCTGGTCACATACGGCTCCTGCGCTCCTCGCCTGCAGCGGTGTGCGCCGTAACTACACGGCAAACCTAGCGGTGGGCGCCAGAACCTTCCTTTGACAGTCTATATTTATTCTATTTGTCTATGGTACAAATTAGCTGTTGTCATAAATTTAAAAAGAATAATAGTGCTGTACCCTGTTGGTAAACCTATTAACTTTTTATAATTGAACACTGAGTACTGTAAATTAAATACAGTATACATAAAGAACTGCTGTACTGTGTATAGAGTACAGCAATGAGGGGTTCGGATTAGTGGACGTTCGGATTACAGGGGTTCGGATTAAATAGGTTCTACTGTACTCATAAGGTTAACAGGGGAAACTCCAGAGCCACTGGGGCGGAGCCGATTGGACGGATAACGAAATTGGTGGTGTATAAACCTGTTCCATAAGATTCTACACGTATGTACCAAGTTTCGTGGCAATCGGTCCAACAGTGTCCGAGCTCATAACGTTCAAATATACAAACTTCCTCTTTTATAAATATAGATTCTTCAACATTTTTTATTGCTAGTAAAAGTTTAGTGTTGATGCAAGTTTTAGTATATTTTAAAGAAACTGACTTAAAATGTATCAATTGCTGTTGTAATGGTAACTATCATGTTATTACAGAAAAATCGCAGAAAACTATAAATTATCGTAACCTATAAAAAGTTTAATCTAGTTATTATCAGTAACAGATACAAATATTGAATATACAGTATACAATATATACAACATTGAAGAAAGATGGTAGAAAAATATAAATCATCGTAACCTATTTAATGTTTGGGAAAAAGTCGTATCTAGTTGTTATCAGTAGCAGTTACAAATATTGAACCCTAGCCTTTATCCACCAGTGCATTCTAATATGTTATCAATTTTGTTATTAGATGACAGTGTAGTATATGCTTTAACCCTGCATCTGGCAAACGACAAGTTACCGTTTGAGCATCAATTTCTTTAACTGCTACGTTTCAACAGAAAACATTACTGTATTTTTAGATATTGCTTTATGAGATTCTAACGTTTATTTTGATTTTTAGTTTGTTTGGTTACCCTGATGTAACAATGTTGTGGAAGTTGAGAATAAAAACGTAGGAATGAGACAACTACGTGTTTAGCTCTGTGTGACGTAACATTATTTCTTATGTTTTTTAGATACAAAATATTTTTTCATGTAAAGAACCACTTTCTAAAATTTTTTTTATATCTTGGATTTCTAATAAAAAAAATCTTTAGTATTTTCCCAAGGTACAGGTAATTTTTTTTTGTTCTTACAAGTAAACAGTTCAAGAAGTTTTTTGGGTTCTGACAATGGTTTAAATTTGTTTCTTGTAATATCCTGAAAAATAAAATATATAACAGTATATACTTTTAACTTTAGTATGGTAGAACACAATTTATACACTTCTAAAGTAATCTATGAACAATGTACATACAGTAAAAATGGCCTGTCAGTACAGAGATTTGTAGCTGCTAGATGCAGGGTTAAGTGTATCAATTATCTACATATTCGTGATTTCACCAATAAACAACTTGTCTGACAGTTGCATTCGGTCTGTGGTTTTGGTCTAGTTTTCTATTTTTAACCAGTTAAAACATCAAGCAGTTCATTTACAAGTGAGTTCCAAATTGTATTAGAAGAAACAGATAATGAATGGAGTGATATAAAAATTGTTTCTTATCACATGGAATGTAGCTGAGCAGGATCCACCGCCAGATTTGAATACTCTTCTTCAACTTCCACCACCATTAGGACAGTCCCTCCCAGACCTTTACATTATTGGGCTGCAAGAAATTGGGTCCCTCCGATTCACCAAATGGAAGCCTGCTTTCAAGAAAGCACTCGCTGAGCACGGCTACAAAAAAGTTAAAAGTAATCGGTTGTATGTTTTGTCTGGAATAATGATACAAGTGTTCGCTCTAGAAAAGCATTTAGAATTTATAAATAAGGTTGAAACTGGAAGTATAGCGCTAGGTATAGCCAAAATTTTAGGTAACAAGGGAGCCACGAGTGTGAGGCTAAATCTTTACAACATGCCAACTTGTTTTGTCAACCTTCATCTGGCTGCTCACGAGAAAGGTTTTAATGAACGATTGGATCAGATGTTGTATGCAGAAAGATATCAGTCTTTCACCAAAACTGAAGTAGACACAATTTTCAAAAACGATCTTGTGTTTTGGCTTGGCGACCTAAACTTTCGCCTGCATCAAGATCTAAACCTCAGTGTCGAGGATATAAAAGACCACATTCGGGAAAAACAGCTTGATAAGCTTTTTGAACATGATGAGATCAACCGTATGATGAAAAACGGAGGCTTCTTTCAAAAGCTGCAAGAAGCTGACATCAAGTTTCCTCCAAGTTTCAAGTTTAAACTTGGGACAAACGATTATGTTACAAACCGTCGGCCTGCGTGGACTGATCGTATTTTGTACAGGGATAGTGAAAAAGTGAATATAACCCCCATAAGCTACAAAAGTGTGGAAGAGTATATGGTTAGTGACCACAAACCTGTAATCGGCGAGTTTGAAATTTCAATCAAAGTCTATAGTCTGTCCGTTCGGCTGTGATACCCAGCGGATTAGGACGCTTCTCGGAACTCGACCGACCCGAGTTTATGTTTTTCATTTCATGAATAATTTGTGATATTTTGCGAATTGTTGATAATTTATTATTCTCTATTGTTTAGGTGAAGTGGTAGAACATTATGGCTATGGTAGATGTGTAATTCTATAGAATACTGTAAATTTAAAAAAGCAAATTTTATCAAACTGTGTCCTCCCTTATTGCAAACGCATAGCTTGAGTATAACTGCAATAAGCATTTTATACTTATACTAGGGGAAACCCGTCGAAATCGACGGTTACTTTCAAGGCTTACGTTAATTCATCTAACTGCGATAAATTGGGTGAAATATACATATTTTGAGCATTTAGCATTGTTTAAAGGGTAGTAAGTGTGAAAACAATAATGATTTTAATTGCGTTAGTTGCCAAATTTGGTTGATCATTCAATGATTAAAATATTTCCCATACCGTACGTCATTTGACTCATCGGAGTTATTATTAGTATGTTATATGATATCTCTTCCTTTGGAAGAACCTTTAAATAGTATTAAAATCGTATTGGTGGGTCTTTTGTAGTTAAACACTTCTGTGATTTCATCAGTGTAATATGATTTTATTTGAAATGAAAATATTTTTTGGGAAGAAATGTTCTAACTTCAAAGGGAGGTATGTCCGTTACAGTGTAAGTTTGATTTTTCCTTCGTCACGTCGCGTCAGTTCATATCGTACTTCTGTGCCATGAATGAACCCTCTAGCATAGTTATGAGAAATTTATTGTGGGGTTACTGTTAAAGCTGGAATTCCTTGACATGGGGGATGTCAGTTAGTTGTCTCAGCCTTATCAATAACATAAAGTTGTCAATATAATCTCTCTACGGAATGATAGGTGTAGTGGAATACTTGAAGGGAAGTTGGCTTTTATTCTTAAACTGTTAGGGACCTCCTAGTTTATATGGTCTTGCGGCTTCATTGGCAACAAATAATGCAAATGACATAGCAATGGGACATTTCCAAAAAGAAAAAATACTGTAAATTGGCTGTTGCGTATATATTGACGTTTACATATTGTAAATCAACGTATCTTATAAAGGATTATGAGGTCTAGTTTAAAAGGAATATGACCTTTCTGTCATGACAGTAGCTGCTAAAATAGTATTTTCTCTTTGTACCATATTTTACAGCCAAAATGTCGTGTTATTTTCAATAATGTTACCGACCCAGTGCGCCAAAGTCTGTAATATAGGCAGGTGCAAATTATTTGTCAAGATGGGTACCATTTTAGGCAATGTTTCTATGTTTGGATTTTATTAGACACGATAAGAGCAGATATTTCTACATGAATATTTGATATGTGTAGAATAATATGATAAAATTTAGGCAAAAGTGGTGAAAAAGGCAGACACCAACCCGTACAATAGATATAAGATAGTTCAATAAGAAATAATTTAAGAGTTTCTGTTATCAAAGGATTTTCCACTGATTTCGTAATAGAAAGTTATATTGCAAAACATGACATGATAAAGAGGAAAATTAATTTTAAAATCAGAAAATAACATTGCAAATACTTATTTGGTACAATTCAGTAACCCAATAAATATGTGTGGTTTGAAATACAATTTAAAAATGAACAGCTGTTTTATTAAAAAGTATTATTCACATGGCCAAAATGTAAACAACTCTGTGGAGGGATCTTTAAAGGCTTCTGGGGCAGAGCCCTAAGGGATTTTGCTTAGTTTTTCTTTTGATATCTCATCTACAGACCAAGACCTTTCTTTGGACACCTCTACCAAGTTTCTACGCCCAGCCGTTCTCTCAAATTAGTGGGGACAAAGTTTCCAATTAAATATTTAAATTCCCCCATGTTAATCTTATGGGAGAAAATCCAACTTTGATGGCCTGT